GGGGGGGGGGGGGGGGGAGCGAGAAAAACATGCTGTGCTCTCTGGGCGAACGGAGATGGTGACTTTGTCGGTAGGTAGTCGATACTGCTGACCACCTCAACTCGGGCAGCTGCTAGTCTCGACTGGTCGATGTTCGGACATCCGACGGGTCTTACTCCCTCTCTCAGCTCGGCCACTAGTTCCACGCATCAACAAAACACCCCCGCACGTCAAAATGCCAGTCACTCACCCGTTCGTTGCCTGGTGCGTGCCTGCTAAGGACGGTGTGAGTGTGCGTGACGAATAAGGTAAAAAGCAGAAAAAGTAGTGTCGTCGGCAAAAAGGTTGTCTGGGGGCCTTCACAATCGAAAGCGAAGGTATAGGCTTACTCATTTCACGGAGCCCCAGCGCGTGCCCAGCGCAGCAGAATAACGCACAAACATAGCAGCACACAAACACTCAGCAGCCAGAGCGGAGACACGGGGTTTAGCCAAGGGGGATAGCAAGCGAGGAGACGGCCCTGACGAGCTACCCGCAAAACCAAAAACCATGGGTCAGGTTATGACATTGTGCGCGAGTGATGAGGCAGACGGGCATGGCTACGACAAGAACACGGTCGAGAAGGTGAGAGCGAGAGGGAGAGAGCGCGGGCGAGATCGCCGACTGCGGGGTGAGGGAGGAGCGAAGAACCTTATGTTTGCGGGGCCCAGACTAAGTCGTTTTTAAGTGAATGCGGGGGGACTAGGAGAGAGAGGAGGAGGGAGACGAAGAGCACAACAGCGGGGTTATGCGGACGTGCTGAGACTTCTGCCAGCCTCCTGGCCGTGCCGTATTCTTCCACGGCGGCGGATAAGTTGCGTGTGCGTCGCGCAAATATTTTACCCGTGGGCTTGGAGTTGCCTTTTTTTATTGCTCTGTTGAGTTGATATTCCTTGTGTCCAGCGATCGGGAGAGCGGCGGCAGAACTGATGAAGAAATCGATTTCTCACATTCCGAAAGACGAAAAATGCTTCGAAGATTCGAGGGTCCTTGGCTTGCGATACTCCGAAGCGCCGACTCAGAAAGCACAGCAATTGTGGCGCATCGTCAGCTGTTTGGTCGGCGTTGGTTGCGTGGGAGAGAGCGCGTTTGTCTCCATCTCATCTGTGTACACGCATGCACTCCACCTGCTGGGTGGTGTTGTTGATTGAGACGATTCCTGAAGTCGGATCGCAGGTCATGCGTTGGTTCTTCTCTCCTGTTTGTCTCTGTCAGAGGAGAATTAGAGGACAACAAGGCTCTGTGAATCACAAACAGTGTAAAACACAACGCAGGCCGCCGTCGATACCAACCTTTTGCCTTGCCCCGCCCTCCTCCGACACACACAAATGACTATTTTTTATTTTTTACTGCTGCTGTCATACGATCAAAGCCAAGACAAAAAAAAACAGGACCCCTGTTTCCCTCCCTGCTGCGGAGGCACAAGAGGGCCAAATGATTGTTGTTGCACATAAAGAACCGTTCCGGTCTCTCTCTACATCCTTGTGTGTCCTTCTCTTGCTAACAGTAGTGTGTGTGTTCTTTAGATCTTGTGATGGCTCTAGCATTTTTGTGACCACGGACCGAGTCTCTTGTAGATTTTGGGATTAGCAACTGACACGAGTTTAAAGAGAAACAACAACGACAACAACAAACAACAACAACAACAACATCCATCTATCTGTCCGTACCACATGGTAGAACAAACACCCGGTGGATTCCCGTAGTCACAGGCTAACTTACCCAAAAAAATGGTAAACTCCTAACATTTACTGGTATATCATAGGAACCCGGACAGCCTGTTGCTATGCGACGTACAACGACGAGCTTCGAACTGCCTTTTTACGATTAAAACCTGCGTGCTGTACAATTCAACATGTCTTGTGGGGCGGGACCATCACCTCCTTCCTGCTGTGCACTACTTTGTTCACAACAAAGAAAAAATAAGTTTATGATAGTTGTGGCCCAGTAAAGGTGGAACTTGCTACTGCTGGGTGAGTTGTTCTGTGTCCTACAGCAGTACATGCGAATATCTGGGATGGTAATCATGGTAAACACTCGTTTCGATGGGTCTCGCTGCTGCTGCTGCTGCTGCTGGACCCCTCTCTGCCTTAGTTTCAGGAGCGCACCAAGCGGCATATAATGTGCAACATGGCAGTACTTGTGGTATTCATGATAAGCACTCACAGAAGGGGTGTACAACCCGACGGCCTGTGAATGGTACGCTGCCCATGTGAGCGCCCCTACTATTGTTGTGTACTTCCAAGTACGAAGTGCTGTAGAGCAGTGGCAGCAGATCTCTACTCTGTACTCCTGTCCGAGGCTATAAGCGTTCTGGTCGTTAGCCTCTTGTACGTGAACACCACTTGTCTGGCAAAGGCCCCCAGACACTTCGTCCTGGGCACCTGTACCGCGGGTGCGCCATGGGTGTGGTCGTCCGTCCGTCTTCGTCGGCAATTGAGTGTCCTCTTTCTGTCATGCGCTTCGGCAATTATCTGGCCAAAAAGAATACACGAAGCGTTGGTAGTAGGGTGCTTGCGCTCACACCGCGGCCGCCTGAAATCCCCCCGATTGTATGCTTTATCCAACATGTTGATGTATTCGAAGAATCCTGCGAGTCTACTGCCTTGGCGGCCGTGGCGAGATGGTGAACCACATGTGTAGGATATACCGCACCTGCTTGCCGTGTGGTAAATTCACAACTCACAGGGTGGACTGCGCTGTAGTACATTCCTTGACACCGATCGATACGGCATGTTGAATAATGTATGCGGATGGATACCTCGCCAACGCCCGAAGTGATGCGTGGACGCATGTGCCTCGGCTATCTGCGGTTGTTATTTCTAACAATCTTCGCTCATACTACATATGTAGCAGCCTTTGATATGCACAGATAGCTTTCCTCTTTCACTGAACCGCCCTGATCCCCAGGGACGGGGCGGGGGTTGCACGAAAATAATTAAAATTCCTTCCATCTACTTGAAGCGGTGTGTCCGAGCGCGAAGCAACCTACAGCAATAGTTCTGCCTCGTTAATTTTCGGAAATAACGGACTCGGCACCGAGCAAGCGCATTGCTCGCCCGTATCGCATTGCTCATCAAGATTGACTTCGTAAGTCCCATGCCGTAGGGAGCGATGGATGGAGATATATGGATGTGACCCCAAAATCTCGCACGGTCAAGCGGATATTCACCTCCAGACTTTTCTCAAGTGCATTGTCGTGGGCTCCAGGACTGTCAGCATCATTTCATTACACCAATGAGAAACGTCAGTCTCATGCGGTATGTTGTGAGAAGAACTTTTCTGTGGGACCCCGGCTCGACATGGAATGAACGACTCTTTTTAAGACCTAGACATACCACACCCGCTGTGTTTAGACAAATGGCGGACAGAAACAGCAGCAAGAACATGGCGATGACTCCCGCGATTGTCGAGAGCATCGGCAGACGCCAGAGCAGTAGCAGTAGAATGTGCTGCAAATCAAAGAGAGTGAAGAGGACCACGAGATGATGATGGTGTTGCTGCTTTTTCGCATTAGAATCCGATCGATCGCGCGTGGCAGAGTTTCTTTCTCTTTAGTTGTCTTAGGCCTGGCCCTTGCACACCCGCTTCGGGCTTCAAACCCGCTTCGGGCTTCAAACCCGCTTCGGGCTTCAAGGTCGCGTCCTACAAGCGCCGTGAGATATTCGGCG